TGCTGCACTGCTGGGTGCTGCACTGCTGCTGGGCAGCTGCACTGCTGCTGGGGCAGGCCCTGCTGCTGGCCAGCTTCCAGCTGAGCCCTGCAACCATGAGTCACCGGGGTCTGCTGGGGTGGCTGCACTGCTGCTGGGGTGGCTGTACTGCTGCTGGGCAGCTGCACTGCTGGGGTGGCTGTACTGCTGGGGTGGCTGCACTGCTGGGTGCTGCACTGCTGGGGTGGCTGCACTGCTGGGGTGGCTGTACTGCTGCTGGGCAGCTGCACTGCTCAGCCCTGCAACCGTGAGTCACCGGGGTCTGCTGGGGCAGCTGCACTGCTGGGGACAGCTGCTGCATTGCAAGGTGTAGCTTTAACATGCCTTAGCCAAAAATGCCATCCTGCTGCAGGGGGAACTCCTTAGGCAGAGTACCAGGGTCTAAACCATTAAAACTGGTGTCTAAAGCACATGGGTTAGGTTAAGACAAATAGGCCAAGTTAACAGCACCACATACCAGTAAAACCAGTTTATTCCCACTGTTAATTTTAAAAACACCATTTAAAGTAATGTTAAGGTCTTTGATGGAAAGTTCCACCTGAAAAGCAGAAACAACCTGATTTTACAATAAACTTCCAGGGTGCTCTGTGCTGGTAAAAACTTGTCTACTTTTATGACCAGCTGCTGCTCCCCATTATTTTTCAGAAGCAGCCAGTGGTTTCTATTATTGGGGGGGTGGTGGTGGTGTTTTTTCTCAATAGAACTAAATATGAGGTTTGCACATTGTTCATTTTGCCAATACAACAGCTACTTAAATTTATATTCAGCTGAAATGGGTTCCCTTGAATTTCTGTTAGGTTTATAAATAACCGTAATGTCTGGTTTGCACAGGCAGTCATTACCTGAGGACCTAAAAGCAGTTTTGAAAACCAAGTTTGTATTCTTTTGCTGTTTAGCATTCGGGTGGGCCCTGAATGAGTCATGCAATGTGCAAGGGAGAAAATGAGAGGGGATGGTTTAGAAGGAGAATGAAATGGAGGCATTGGAGAGCAGCAGAAGATGAAACTGCAGACAGTAGAAACCAGGCATGAAAATAATCCTCTTTAAGTAGAGAGCTAAAACCCTCTTGAAAGAACATAGTCTTGAGGGCAGTAGAAGGTTCACTCAGCAGGACAGTGTGTCATTTTCTCACAGGTTTTTGATCCATCCCAAATGTTCAGACAATTCAGCTGAGTCACTTCAGATGGGATGTGAAGCCTTTTTACAGCTGACCAAGGCCATTGTGGCCCTCAGTCTGTTGGGTGATGTGAAGCCCCAGCTTTGTCCTGGTGTGGGCTGGAGGAGACAGAGCCATGCTCTCCAGGGACAGCCGTGTTCTCCAGGGACAGATGTGCTTTCCAGGCACAGCCATGCTCTCCAGGCACTGCTGTGTTCTCCAGGGACAGCTGTGTTCTCCAGGCACAGCTGTGCTCTCCAGGCACAGCCATGTTCTCCAGGGACAGATGTGCTCTCCAGGCACAGCCGTGTTCTCCAGCCCCAGTGCCACCCAGGTTCACAGCGTGCCTCGGTCACACTCAGGTCCTTCTTGCTGAGTCAAGCTTGTGAGATGCTCACACAGGCTGCAGTTTAACAGCTGCAGATTTCCTCTTAAACCTATCCCAAACCTACTTTGGTGAAACCGGGGCGGTAGCACAAGGAGGTGAGACCCATTTACACCAGGCTTTGTGAGATGAAATGCTTCACAGAATCCGTGGATTTGTTTGCCCTACCTCCTCTATAACAGCTATAATTGTATGGGATAACACTGTAAAGGTCTGAAAGTTGACAGATGTGATGTAAATACTGCCCTCGTGGAATCCGGGGGGGGGGGGGGGGGGGGGGGGGTGTGGGTTGTGATTCATCCTTTTATTGGTCTCCTGTCCTTACCTGCTCCGAGCAGTTTGACAACAGCCTAAATACCTTTAATTGAACTGCTGAATGATCGTTTACACAGAGGGAGGCAGTATTTACACTAGCAGGTGTGAATTTGTGATCTTTGCCTCTGCCAGGGCTGGTGTGTCGGTGCTGAGCTGTTTTGGGGTGCCCTTGCAGGACCCTCTCTGTCCCCCTCTCGAGGCTGGCATTGCCTCCTTGCCCTGAGCCTCCCCATCCTTTCCCCACCTCTGGCTCTGGGGATATTTTGGTTTTGATTGCAGATATGGCATACGGCATTCCCTGCTATTTTCAGATGCATTATTTAATGATTTACAATTCATTCTACAGCAGTTTTTCTTTTGTAGAATAATAGTGGTTTTTAACCACAAAGCTCTATCTTCACAAACAGGACTTTAATATTTCCAGTACACCTAATTTATTCATTTATTTATAAAAAGCTGGTCATTGACACCTACCACCAATAGTTAACTGATCATGGCATATTCCAGGAAGGCAATTCTTCCCAAAATCAGGATGTCTTTTTATGTCTTTATATTCTTGAGACACAGGAAAATGAAAATTCAAGTTTAAGGTGTTAGCCAGCACTGAGTTTTTTTCCAGCACAACCAGAAAATCTAATGTCTCTACTATCTGCAGTTCTGGATCAGGGTATTTGTCTCTTTCTCACTCAATGCTCCTGCCTGGCATTGCTGGAAACATCCAAACAGAGAGAGGTGAAACAAGCTGCTTTTGTTTGTGATGTATCTGTAAAATACCTATCTGTTTTAAGACTGTCCTAGGGAAAAAAAAAAAAAGACAAACTGGGAGGCCTTTCTGAAAGCCTGCTTTACTTTCTCATCAGCAATAATAGCAGAGACGTTGCTGCTGGCAGGGCTGCTTTTTCTATTTCCACAGACCCTCTAGTTGTCAACTCTAAGAGCAGCAAGAACAAGACCTGCCTTTTTATGAGTATTCTGCTAAAAGCAGGGTGTTTCACAAGGTGCAGCAAGAGAGACATGCTTGGGCTTAGCATGTCAAGGCTCAGCTTCTCTGTGCTTTTACAGAAGGCAATTTTGCCATATAACACTAACTTCTAAGCAATAATCAAGGCAAAAAAAACCCCGACCAGAATAAGCAGCAACTTTGCTATGGGTTTTATGTACAAATCTGCAACTAGGTATTATACAAAATTCTATACAGACCAACCTCCTGCTACTTCACTGTGTGTTATTTTTCTGCTGTTTTGTGATTCATATTGTTTGGCTATCAGAAGTTGGAAAACATCCATTTGACAGAGCTAGCCTGTATGTCAGCTTTATGTTGCATTTAGATTCTTGTGGACTAATCTTCTGGTAGAAATCAAAAGGCATTAAAATGGATTTTATAGCCTTATGATAAAATTAACTGGAAAGGCTCTTACAGCTTTTGTCAATAAGCTAATCTGGTTTAATAATATGTCACTGAACTTTGTGAAATACTAAACCACATACAGACCTCACTTATACAAATTAACCCCAAATTTATTGCTTTTGAATGCAGGTAGTCCCATTGGATTTGCATTAGAATGTCCTTGCAATGTCCAAGTGAGTGTGTACAGGAAAACCTCCATTTTCATTATGCTACCAGGTCCCAGGGGTTTATTTTCATTGGATTCAAAATCCCAAACCACCAACATAAAGAACAGAATGCCAGCACAGCACAGCTTAGCTCAGGCAAAGGGAACAAAACCAGTAACACCTGAGGCAGCAAACTGGGTCCTGCTGGTGGAGCTCCCCCAGCACAGCTCCCCCTGCCTGGAGCCTCCCTGGGGCTGGTCCAGCCGAGGAAGGCAAAAGCCTTCCCACCCCGGGGCAGGCTGCAGGCAGCCCTGGAGCCCTGCAGGGGCCACAGAGGGGTGGCACGGCTGCAGGGCAGAACGTCCCTCCCTGCACCCTGCCACCAACAGGGCAGGGCCGTGGGGCAGGGGGGGGCTGCTGCAGCTGAGCTGAGGCAGAGCAAACCAGGTCCTCTGGTGGGGCCATCAGTGTGGGGCTATCAGTGTGGGGACATCAGTGTGGGGACATCAGTGTGGGGACATCACCTGGGGACATCAGTGTGGGGCTATCAGTGTGGGGACATCAGTGTGGGGCCATCAGTGTGGGGCTATCAGTGTGGGGACATCACCTGGGGACATCAGTGTGGGGCCATCAGTGTGGAAACATCAGTGTGGGGACATCACCTGGGGACATCAGTGTGGGGCCATCAGTGTGGAAACATCAGTGTGGGGACATCAGTGTGGGGACATCACCTGGGGACATCCCTGCAGCCACCTCTGCTCTGTTACTGAGTGATGGGCACAGCCACTCTGCTGGGACCTCCTCAAAAGAGTGAGTGAGGAAAGGGAAAAGCAGAGAGTGAGGAAAGGGAAGGGCAGAGAGTGAGGAAAAGCCAGTGGGGAGCACCTGAGACTGGGAAAGGAGAAAGGATTCCGCTCTCCTGTTTTTAAACCAGGTTGATCGTTGGCTTAGAGAAAAATTAAAGATGCTGAGAGGAGCACCTCAAGGAAAAGCAGGCAGCAGGGTACAGGACAACACTTGTACCCCACTTCTTTGACTCCTGTATTTACTACAGGTTTAGCAACCACATGCAGACAGTTTCGATTCCCTAAATACTGTGTAGACTTTAATGGGAATACTGCTTCTACTGTTAAAAATAAATAACACACTTGGATTTCCACACCACATTTGGCCATGTTGTTAGGGTTTTTTTTATTTGTTTTTTTTCAAGGGTAAGAGGATTTGTTACTCTGAAGCAATCTGAAAATGCAGTAGAAAAATGAAATTGTCTATTGCTTTCTTTTTAAGACAGTTTTACTTCAGTGATTTCATATTTAGCCTGCAAATGTCTATAGAAGTTAAAAAAGAAAAACAAAACCGATGTGACTGTATCACAAAGAACTAATGTATTCATTTTTACTGTTAATTTAGCTGCCTTGCAAGATATTGGCCATCCTCCTTCATTTTTTCTTCCTGAGTGCGTTTGCATGGATGCTGGTGGAAGGATTTCATCTTTACAGCATGGTGATCAAAGTATTTGGGTCAGAAGAAAGCAAGCACTTATATTATTATGGAATTGGATGGGGTAAGCATTTAGTAGCTGCTTACTTTAAGTCTCCTCACTATGGGACAAGATTATATTCAGAAGCATATTTGAAATTATCATCTTATGATCACAGTTTGCCTTAGTGAGAGTGGGTCTGTTGGATGAGAAAATGCATCCTTTTTCTGACTGCAATCAGACTTGTAGTGTAGTCCTTGAGCCTAATTCCACTGCAGGAATTGCACAACCTCTCCAGGCAAGATCAGACCCTCGATTACAAAACCAATGGCAGGACTGAGGGAGGGAAATCTCACTACACTGCTGTGTTCTTTCTTTGGTTCTGACTCACACCAGTGGCTTATTCCATCTGTATTCTGTAGTCGTGCAGAAAAACGGGCACAGCAACACAGAATTATCACAAGGCTTCACTGGTTGGTGCTTTGTGCCTTGAAATCCTTAAATTAGAAGTGTGCACAGAACCCCAGTGTTGTTGTTACTAGGAATGAAGAAGTGGTTCTGTGACATGGGAATATCTCAGACAATTCAAGGCTTTCTAGATGCAGCAATAAAAGCATAACCCATGTGCATTTCTGGAGAGCCAGAGCTGAGTATTTTCACATATTTAAAGGGTTGCAGACCCTGCCAGCAGAGCAAAGTCACTTGCTGTCACAGCCCTGGGAGAGCAGCAGGGGTGCTTGACAAAGCTCCACATTCAGAAGGAGAGGGAACCTCATTCACTGGGTCAAAGAATAGGTGTGAAAAATAGAAAAGGAATATACATGCAATTATAGACAATTTTGAAATATGTTAAAATATGCATTATCTTTCCTTCTCTCCGAATTCATTTGGAGATACAGGAAGAACAATTATATCAATAATACAGATCTGCTGCAGTCATAATTGAAATATTTAATATCTATTTGGCACCATGCAGATCTGGGTGATAGTAATGCTGTGATATATATATATATATATATATATATATATATATATATATATATTAAGAACTACCTACTTGTCCTTTTGTCAGTTCTGTCCTTTTTATTTTGTGCATTTAAAAACCTTCTTGGCTGTTGTGTCTGGGGGCCACAGTCCCCTGGTGAGCAGGGGATTCCCCAGGCTGAGGGGACGAGCTGCAGCTGGAAGGTTTTCTCCTTTGGCCCCATTGCTTGGGTACAGGTTCAGTAATTCCAATTCATGTGGCACTTTGTGCCGGGTTTGTTGGTTGTAACATGGCAGCGATTTAGAAGACACAAAACCAAACCAGGCATCCGACTGATTAGGTCAAAAATCCCCAAAACTGCTTTTTTGCTGTGGTGATTCAGCATACCAGGCAGAGATTGTTGGCGAGGCTTTTTTGTCCCACCATTTGTAGGATGCTGGGGACAGAGTTTGTGATTCTGGATGTTTTCCCATTTCAGCCAGTTCCCTTTCCTTCAGAAACTGCCACAGAGTGAAGACTGTTCTGAGCTGTCAAGTGCCATAAATTCCATTATTTGCTGTTAGCTGATGTAGTTCCCAACTTCTGCCCGTATCTGATGTAACACAGCAGAAGAAAATCGTAAAAAATGAACATCCTCAGTATAAATGGGAGAATATACTCATCCCCATCAAGCAAAGTAGATCTTTTCATCATTGGAGGAAAATACACTTTCATTTGTGCCTAATGCTTCATCTTTCTCAATAAATGACATATTTAGCCTTTTAGAACTGATGTCCTAAAATTGTTTTGAATTGTCTGCCACAGAGTTTCAACCTGGTGGGTTTTTTTTGTATTCTTTGGGTTTTTTTGCACATATAGTAGATACAGAATCTTTCAAAATACAGTGCTACTTAACTGCTGAGTATAGCCCATATTTATAAATACATATTCATATCAATATAGAAATATTTATAAATGTGCTTCTAGCTGCAGTTATTAAAGAATTAAAATACTTCCTCCAAAAATTATATTTCTGCCAGTACTGGAAAACTTTACACAATTTGTGAGGATGATCGTGGTAAAATTAAGTAGAAATTGCCTGTCAGAGAATTTTGTAAAACCCTCATGCAGAAAACCTGAAGAACTAAAAAGAAAATTGAAACTTTAAGCTATCATGTCTAATACTCTGTCTGGGACCTATTTATTAAATTCTGTACGATGATCAAAGCTCAAACCTTCACATTTTATTAAATCATACAGGAATTAGCAGGCAATCATTTAATATTTGAAGGGATGGGTTTTACTGCATTCAGAACTGCTGGCAATAAATCCCCTGCCTCCTCTCCAGCTCCTGGCCTGGACTGAAGTGGCACAACAGGACCTGGCAGTGCTGGGGGCAGAGCAGCTCTGAGACCAGGAGCAGATCTGCCTCCATGTGATTTGTGTGATTCCTGTGTCACCAGGAGCAGAACTGCCCCTGTGTGATTTGTGTGATTCCTGTGTCACCAGGAGCAGAACTGCCCCTGTGTGATTTGTGTGATTCCTGGGTCACCAGGAGCAGATCTGCCTCAGTGTGATTTGTGTGGTTCCTGTGTCACCAGGAGCAGAACTGCCCCTGTGTGATTTGTGTGATTCCTGTGTCACCAGGAGCAGAGCTGCCTTGGTGTGATTTGTGTGATTCCTGGGTCACCAGGAGCAGAACTGCCTTGGTGTGATTTGTGTGATTCCTGGGTCACCAGGAGCAGATCTGCCTCCATGTGATTTGTGTGATTCCTGGGTCACCAGGAGCAGATCTGCCTCCATGTGATTTGTGTGATTCCTGGGTCACCAGGAGCAGAACTGCCTCGGTGTGATTTGTGTGATTCCTGTGTCACCAGGAGCAGTTCTACCCCTGTGTGATTTGTGTGATTCCTGTGTCACCAGGAGCAGTTCTACCCCTGTGTGATTTGTGTGATTTGTGTGTCACCAGGAGCAGATCTGCCTCCATGTGATTTGTGTGATTCCTGTGTCACCAGGAGCAGTTCTACCCCTGTGTGATTTGTGTGTCACCAGGAGCAGAACTGCCTTGGTGTGATTTGTGTGATTCCTGTGTCACCAGGAACAGTTCTACCCCTGTGTGATTTGTGTGATTTGTGTGTCACCAGGAGCAGATCTGCCTTGGTGTGATTTGTGTGATTCCTGTGTCACCAGGAGCAGATCTGCCTCCATGTGATTTGTGTGATTCCTGTGTCACCAGGAGTAGAACTGCCTCTGTGTGATTCCTGTGGATCAGGAACAGAACTGCCTCTGTGTAATTCTTGTGTTATCTCATGAATGTTTCTTCACCTCCTAGGGCACAGCCCACTGCATCAGTCAAAGCTATCTGGAAACATAATTTCCTCTTAAACACAAAAATCTTGCAGACCCATGACATATTTATGCTAAACTCAGCCTTGACTGGTCCCCTGAGGCAGCCTGAGTTGGCTGGCTGTGATGCTCTGGATAACCAAATGTCACCACTCTTGTCCTCTCACCTGCTATCTATGCATCCCTGTGAGAAACTTTGCTCTCCTGTCTTAAGTTCTGAATTCTTGAGCAAAAAATGCACTTATCTGGGGTAAAGTGGTTAAAATAAGGCTGATAATGCTTCACATGTATCACTGCTTGGATAGCAAGAGGCAGAAAGTCCATAAGCCAAAACCAGGTTTAAACTGGACTGTGATTCCCAAGGAAGTTAGCACTGATTCAGTTTAACAGTTAAACTAGTATTTTATTAAAAAGTCATTTTGTCTGACATCCGTTAATTAGTGTTGGATTAAACGGCTGCAGGAGGATGTCAAGTTAGACTTAATTTGAAAATGACTCTGAGCTGTTCTGCTCATACAAAATTTAGCAGAACTTTTCAGGGCTTGCTGGAAGATGTGCTTTTATTCCTAATATTGCTTCAGCATCTGCCTTTCTGTGCCTTGCTGCAGGCTGCCCACTGGTGATCTGTGTCATTTCTGCAACATCCTCCCTGGACAGCTATGGAGAAAGTGGCAAGTGAGTATGAAAAAAAGCCTCACTGCAGGTGCCATAGGGATGGAAATCTGATGTGGAGGAAATTTATAAATGTGTTAAATGGGCTGTGGTGCTGCAACGTCCTCCTGAGGAGCAGGGGAGAGAGTCTGCAAAAGGATGACTTGTGTAGAAATATTGTTAAACACGGAAGCCTCAAGTCTGGTTTTCACAAAGATGATGCACAAAAAGCTCCTGAGATGTTTTTCTTTATTTTCACTGAAGAGCTCCTCAGTGAGCTCCCTGCTCAGGGGGGAAAAGCCTGCACCAAGATGAGAGTAACTATTGGTTAAAGATATTCAATCTTCCAAAGAAAACTGCAGGTACACACCTGAAATTTGGAATGGATAATGTCCAAAATCTTGAAAATTAATTTCCTTTCTAATTTGGGAAAAGAAGAGCAAGTTTACCTGAAATAACTCTATAGAATTTAATCCTAAAATAATTTCACATGTGGTAAACTGGTTTATCTCTTCAGGGCTGTAAGAAGGGCCTGATTGTGTTTGCCAGCCCCTTCCCCAGCACCAGCCAGGGGAAGCAGGAAGGGCTTCAATTTGTCCCTGGCTGCAATGAGACAAATCCACTCCAATGAGACATTTCACAGTGCTCCAGCACTGAAATGACTGCCTGTGGCTGAGAGCACCAGAACAACAAATTGCAAATAAAACATTTCCTCCTTCCCATCTTTGCAGTCCTGTGGAGGTGGGCTGGGGCAGAGAGGTGTCACTGACTGTGTGACAAATCCAAGTGAGATCTCACCTTGGCTCCCCAGTGGGAGGGGAAAAGGAGCTTTTTCCTGATGTGCTATCACATCTCTTGCTTTCAAAATTCAGCAGACTTCTTGCACTCTGTTTTAGTTGTTTTATTTTATAGGTTGGGTTTTTTTTAAATGAATAACATTACTAATTAAATGACTGTATGTTTCCTCCGGAACAACTCTGATTTCCCCTGCAGCTGCTGGCTTTCACTGGAGAATGGAGCAATCTGGGCTTTTGTGGCGCCAGCGATGTTTGTCATTCTGGTAGGTACCAGCACAGAGCTGCTGTTCCTTGCTGCACCTCTGTGCCAGCAGGGCTGCCTGGAGGCCTGGGGTCAGACCTTGTGCCAGCCCAGTGAAACTGCAGTCCTGAATTCTCCAGAAATCTGGGTTCCTGCTCCGAACTTAGTGTTGTGCATGGGTATATGTATAACTATATCTGACAATATCCATATATAGAGTTTACCATTGCATGCCTCTGTACCTGTTTGGCAAACAGAGGGTATAAACTTCTATGTGTGAGCTTACAGTCAAAGGTATGTAGATATTGATGATTGGAGAGTAATTAAAAGAATCCAATATTCATATGTCCTCTCCTCACATTAGCACTTGCTTTCTGGCCATTGCTCAGCACCAAAGGAGGAGATGAGATGCAGTCAGGGACACCAAACCCTCCCAGGCTGCTGTCCAAGGATGGTGGTAACCAAACACACCAGGCAGTGAAATGCTCACTCACCTGAGCCAGCACAGCCTCCAAAAGTTTTCATGTGCAGCTACTTGGCAGAGAAAGTAAGAGTTTAACTGGCTGCCTTTGACTTACGATATCTAACATTTGTGCAGCTCAAATTATGTTCTTGTAGGGACACAAATACTTTCAGAAAGAGGAAGAGTGAGCTCACAAGGTTGATCCACACAAGGCAATTTGTTAAATAGTCTAAACCCAGCTCTGCCCAAAATAGCAGCAAGTGAGCTGACAAATTACCTCTGTGGGCATTGGATATTCCAGCTGAAAAATGTGTTAGTGCCTATAGGGAAATAACAGGGCTAAACACTCTCTGGCGTGTGTGCATGTGTGCCTGTGTTCTTTAAATAACAAATTAGCCACCAGCTGCATAAACTAGCATTTAAGTCTGAAAATACTTCTCAAAAAGCAGTTTTTGACTAGTTTGATTCACAGTGTGTCTGCCAAGAAAAAGGATTATGCTGTGAGGAAAAGAGGGGATTGCTCCTTTCAACTCCCACTCCCCAGAGACCAGGCAGACACAGTCCCCTTTTATCCTGCCCCAGCCTCACAGGCAATCCAGACACCATGGAGCCTACACCAGAATGATGTGGAGGGACTGTGACTGGGGAAAAGCACTCACACATTCTTTTCTAGGCAGTAATTCACAGAACCTCCCAGCCCTATATAGATTCCCATACTAAATATGCTCTTTCCCTGGGGTTTGAGTCAAGGGATATGATGAAGGAAATAGTTCCTTCTATATGTAGGTCTTTTGGCTTCTACCTACATCTTAAGGTTTTAAGATCACTCTCCCCCACACCCCAAACCTCAACACATATCTATCATCTCTATATCATCCTCTTAAAGCAGCTTCACATAATGTCCTTGAAATTAATTTGCAAACCAAACTAAGCTCAGCCTAAGTTGCCCTGGGATCTGTTTTCAGTTGAGGGGGAAAAAACCTGACTTAACAAAGCACCTGAATTTTTGACACAAGACATTAAAACTTCTGGCAGAAGGCTCTGTTTATTATCAGCCATCTGCTGCCTTGGTGTGTTTCCATAGATATGGCAGAATTCAGGGAATTCTGTGGAAAGCATCTGTGTGCCAGGTAGGGAATGAGGAGCAGACACTGGCCTGCAGTGGCCAGACCTCTTGCTTTCCCTGTAAATTGGTATTTTCCTGGTGGTGCAGTTGGAGTGAGAGTTTGCAAGGCTCTGAGTACAGCACAGAAATGGCTTTCTCAAATATGCTCATTACCACCTCAAAGGATTTACAGGGGTTATTTACAAAATATGATTTGGCAGCAATAGGGAAAATGATCCCAAGACCATTGAATTTCACCTCTTATGTCTGTAAAGCTGATTGAACAACAGGTACACTTGTTATTGAGAAGCTGGCAGTTCCACAGGATAGCCTTTGGATAAACTCGAGAGCCACGGCAAAAATGAACTATTACAGATATGCTCTGATTCTACAGCAGGTGAAGATCTGCCCTTAGAAAACTTAAATCTAAAAAAGGGTCAGAAGATTTGGAAAAAACCCAAGGAAATAATTATAATCAAATTTAAACATCTTTAATTCACCCTCTCATCCTCAGAATTAGAATATTTATGTTGAAGTAGAGAATGATTATTGAGTTTTAACTGAGGAACAGCATTTTTTTTTTGAAGTCTTCTCTTTCTTTTTGTTCTGTAGTTCAGGATAGTTTTGTTCTACCCTTGTTCTTGACACTTTGTAGCTGATGTGCAACTTTAGACAGGAAGGGAAAATATGTATTTCACCTTCACATTGTCTACATTTTTTTTCCCTTTAAACCCAAGGTCTTTGCACAGCAAGACAGTCTTTGCCACATTTCCTTTAAGTGATAAAGATTTCCTTCTTCCTTCACCTGTGACTCCAGCACAAACTTTCCTTTGCTGAACATTTTCAGTGTTAGTCTTTTCAAGATTTCCTACTTTTCTGTCGGGGATTCTTTTTATTTAATTGATGTTTCTGCTGGACCTGACATCAAAAAGAGCAGAGCCTTTGAAGAGCAGAGTCCAGATTTGCCATCGCTCCCTTCGAATGCTCTGTACCCAAACTGTGAGCGGGCTTTGGTCGGAGATGGGAGCTGCACACGCCGAGGGGCGGCAGGGCGCAGAGCAGCGAGGGGCTCCTGCAGCGCTGCAGCAGTGTCCCTGAGGGGTTCCTGCAGCACTGCAACGCAGAGACCCTGAGGGGTTCCTGCAGCGCTGCAGCAGTGTCCCTGAGGGGTTCCTGCAGCACTGCAACGCAGAGACCCTGAGGGGTTCCTGCAGCACTGCAATGCAGAGCTCCTGAGGGGTTCCTGCAGCACTGCAATGCAGAGCTCCTGAGGGGCTCCTGCAGCGCTGCAGCAGGGCTGCAGTGCAGAGATCCTGAGGGGCTCCTGCAGCGCTGCAATGCAGAGACCCTGAGGGGTTCCTGTATTGATTTATAATCGGGTATTGATTTACAGTTGGGGTATTGATTTACAGTCAGGGTATTGATTTATAATCAGGTATTGATTTACAATCAGACATTGATTTATAATCAGGTATTGATTTACAATCAGATATTGATTTACAGTCAGGGTATTGATTTACAATCAGGTATTGATTTACAGTCAGGGTAGTGATTTACAGTCAGGGTATCGATTTGTGTGTGGGGATCCTGAGCACCTTGGCTCTGGGGCAATGCAGCCATCCAGGCTTTTCCTGAACATGCAAAGGAACTCCTGAAGGAAGGAGAAAAGCTGTGGGGGTGGGAATCACTGACACAGGGCAAACCACACAGCCCAGCCTTGGAAACCTCTCTTGCCACATAAAGAGAGCACAGAAAGTCTCTGTTTCTGTTTCCTGCTGTCTTTGTACAATGCCCTCCCTGGGCAGCCTGCTCCTCAGACTCAGCCAAACTTGCTTTCCTGACCAAGGCTTGTTCCTCCTCCTCCTCCAGGTCAACATTGGCATTCTCATTGCTGTCACAAGAGTCATCTCCAGAATCAGTGCAGACAGCTACAAGGTCCATGGAGATGCTAATGCCTTCAAGTAAGTTTTCCTCATTGAAATTGTGACAATCTCCCACAAGCAATGTTACACCATGGGCTGCTCCCAGAACACTGACTGCTCCTCTTCAGTAAAAGCAAATACTTTTCAAAGGTATCCTCCCTTGAATGCAGCCAGTTAACCTATGTTTTATTAAAGCTGCATGCTGCACAGGGTGAAGCCTTGTGGTTCAGCAGGAGCTGAAGTGCTTCCTTGCCTATTACAGTCTCCAGCATTTGCTGATTCATTATTTTCCCTTTTGCTAAGGGAGATTTTCCTCTTCCTGCTATAGTCAAAAGCTGAATTTCACAGAGCATAATTAATCTGTACTGGGTTATTGCAACTCTTCTGCTCCTTCTGAGGCCAGACCTTGTTTCCAGCCCCAGTTCAGTATAATATTTAGGCACATGCTTATCTTTAAGACTCTCTTGACATTACAAAGCACAAAGACTTACACCTGGATTTAAATGTGTGCCTAAATTCAAGCAGATCTTTATATCATAGTGCCTTGAGCCTCTTGGGTTGGTGGCTTCTGAGAATGAGTCATCTTTAAAATAGCACTAGGGGGGTGTAGTTAAGAAGATAATTTAATATATCAAGGATAAATGAAGATGTTGAATATTCCATTTTGTATCTCCTAAAGAAGCTTTAGTCCAAATAGAGAAATGTCACTGTATATAAATAAAAGAATATGGAACTTAGATAGAAGAAAAATGTGATGGTGGTTTGTGTTTAATGTTTCTGAGGCACAGGTTATTGTATGATAAAGATTTGGTGCCACTGTGCTGAAATTGTATCATAAAGAATAATTTTTATGCTTGGATTACTTATGTAATTTTGAAATTGTCATTAAGTTTTAAATATTGGTGACAGTTACCTAATTGAAGTTAGTTTACTTATTATACACTTATCCAACAGGAAAAGAAAAACAGTAAATAAGTCTACACAAAAATCAATAAGACAATTACACTGTAGTGAAATGAGAAGCCTGGGAATTAAAATGACTGTTTCAGGTTTGGCTGAGTTCCTGTGACCTTCAGAAACACAAAGGAAGAATAGAAACTTAGGAAGCAAATAACTATATTGTCAATGCCAAGTTTTTTGCACTATCAGAAGTATGAACACAAAGACACATCTCCATAAGTACAGGAGCAGCTACAGAGATTGCTCCATGTACTTGGATATTTTATTCTATTGCAAGGAATGGATTCCATACATACTGTACCCTGCACACTAACACACACTATTTTTTTTAAACTGCGTGTGTGCACATTAGTAAATTGATTTATGAATGATAGGTCGAGGAATAAGATGTAATGCCTTTAATGAGGAGCATATGTTCTTAGCCCAGGTATTATCAGCTGTAGATTTGGAATGGGATAACTTTAACTGAAAATGAGACTTCTCCAGGTACCCTGGCTGAGAGATGCTCTTTTTGCCAAGTTATTTTCACATTACAGTTTCAGGACTTGACCTAACAAAAGTTAGAGGGAGAAAAGTGGAGAAAAAATTATTATCAGAGGGCTGATACATCTGAAAACTTGAACCATTTAGTGATTAAGGGGAAATATGCTCTGATAGAACAGCTTTCCTCACATAAATAAGTTAAGTAAACAAAATACAATAGAAGGTAAACAGAACATAGAGAATAGTTCTTCTGTACATATCATTACAGAAGTGGATCCTCGGAGTCTGAAATGAGAAGAACATAAATACATGTTCAAATCAGATCTTGGGAAGTGTTTATGCCCTGATATAGCAGTGAGGCATGATGGATTAGAGTTTTATGTACAGAGGATATCACAAAGAAAACTAGGCTATTGGAAAAAAAGATAATTATAAAGCCTTTGTAGCACCGAGTTTATATGTCTAGAATGAAATCCTTGTGTGTATTTTCCAAGAAATAAGAGAAGAAAGCAGAGCAGGGCCGTGAGCTGACAGGTGCACGGAAGTGTTTCACGGTGTGAAATCCCCACGGCTCCGAGCATTACAGGCTCTGGGAGCTGATTACAGGTTGTTAACCCGGGAGGGTGGATGTGCACAGCAGAACAAATCAGTGACAAACAGAGAGCAGGAAAGCAGGAAAGGCTCTACAGTTCTGTGAGGAAGGACTGCAGGGTGGTTTTTGGATCAACAAGTTGAGCTGGCCTAGGGAGGAATCCCTGACGGCTGCAGAACGCTTTGTGTGCTGTAATCCCCAAATAAAGGGGCTGCCAGGCATCCCTGAGTGCTGCACCTGGTGGATATCACTGTGGGCAGAACTGGGCTGTGTTAGGAGGAGTTTTTCAAACCTTCTCACGAGCCAGAGCTGGATGAAACTGGCACAGTGTGATTTGGAGAGGCAGGAAAGCTTTGGCACCCGTCGCAGCTGTTTGCAGCAGCCAAGCGGGGCATGGGGAGAAGTGGCTCCTTCAGAGCTGGGCTGGTGCTTCCAGACAGCCAAAGGCAGAAATTGGGAGCTGCAGGGCAAGGAGCTGTGGAGGGGAGCCTGCTCAGCCCACCAAAGCTGAGGCAGAAAAGAAGGGGCACTTCAGTGCTGTCTGTTCAAGCCGCGATGAGACGTAGGCGGGCAGCACGGCCAGACAGCGAGCACTATGACAGCAGGGACAGCAGGCTGGATGGCTCCCAGCAGGTCACACCACAGTGACAGTGAGCTCCAGGGCTCCTGCACTGACCACAGCGGCTGTGGCAGGAGTACGAGGAGGTGCCAGTGCCACCTCCTTCCCTGCTGGCTCGGGCCAGCATCACTTCAGTCTGTAAGCGCCTGGCTGGGTGGCCTCACACTTGTGATGTTTCCAAGTGCAAACCCAAGCAGCTGCTGTAGTCCAAAAATGCCAGCCTGCAGGTTTCACAGAACAGGCTCCTCCTCAGGCTCGCCTCTGGCCAGGCTCTGCTGCCAAAGGAAAGCTTTAATCACACTGACAAGGACTAAACTCCACTGCTGCTGGCAGCAGGGTGGGAGAGGACCTGCCCTGGCTCTGTCTCCCCTAAACTCCTGAGCTCAGTCAAGCTGACCCCACTGGACTCCTGGTCCTTGCTGCCCACAGCTGATGTGCTCTGTTAAGTGTTGCTCTCACTTGCCCTGAAAGCTCTGACTTCTCCCCGGTGGGTGGCAGAGGGAAGCCCAGGCTGTGCTCAGTCACCATCTCTGCATGTCCCAAGCCAGGTGTGGTGACTGAGCAGAGATCACCTCAGGAAATCCTGACAGCAAAGACACATCTGAATCATGATGGCATCAGTTAGAGAGGGTGTTTATTGCTAGAGAAGAGCTGGTGCTGGAGCATGTTTGCTTTCTGAAAAATTAAGTTACTTGGCAATGCAAGTGGATATTACCAACAAGGCTTGTTTCTCTTGGCAACAAACAGCAATAAACTGATGTAATTATTTAGAGTAATTGTTCCCAATTTTCCATATGGCAGCAGGTCCTCTCAAATGCAAACTCAAACTGCAGAACGTGCACCAGGGTGAGACAGTGCTCTGCTGTGAAGGCAGCAGCTGGCAAACCTCAGGTTTAAAAGCCAAAACAGAAAAGAAAGTTGTGAACAAAATTCCTTTTAGTGTCCTAAAATTAATTTATTATTAATCTTCCCCATTTGCATTTCCTCCAGAACAAAGTGCAGTTACTGGCTTATCGATCTGCTCAAGTTCAGATGTTGCTTGTCACAGAGGAGACAGCAGAGAACATCCCGCTGAACATCTTGTTCTGCTTTCACTGCCACTGGTGTGCTCATTTGTTTGTCTAAAATAAATAAAAATAACGCCCCTAAAATGAATTTAAGAAGCAGCATAAAAGACCAAGCTTTTATGATACATAAACTGTAAAATACCCAGTAATTTAAGACAAAATGAATACAATTAAACAGTTTATGATCACAGACACTAATTAAAGCATAATAGACTCCTGTGATAGTCTGAATAGTAAGTATTTGGTCACTGTAGTAATTTTCCTATGTGTGTGAAAATAGCTACTTTTTTAGTGTCTGAAACTTTTAATCTGCAACACCAGTTTACTGGAAAGAGCTGAGCAAAGAATTATTATCATATCTTATTTATTACTTGAATTTACTTAAGATCATGCTTTTTGTATTGTTTTTGAAGCATATAGAGTACATATAGAATATTAACTTTTCCTTTAGTTGTCATTGATTATTCTTGAACCTTTTATCAGAGGATTAGCTATTGATTCTCAGCAAAATAATTTTGGGCAATAATTCAGTTGTGGCTTAATAAGAATGTTTTGCATCAGGGAACAGATTTTCTGCCAAAAAGCTAATTTAAATGTTTTAGTTTGTAGAATGCTGAATCTAATACCTTGAAATATTTAAATGCATACATACAGCATTTGTTTGAATTATCCATTCTTTTTTTAGGGACATAACTAATCATATGTTTGAGTTTAAGCATACGGGTAGCCTGTCTAAGCTTAATGCAATTAAAGTAGATTAGTTTAATGGAGTTGCTCATGTGCTTGAAAAGGCACATGATTACATTTCTGAGTTATGAACCATTTGAACTCTTTTCTGACTTATTTCTGCTGCATCTAAAGATTTAACTCTATTCGACACATGCATTGACATATAAGGGCCTAAGGAAGGGTTTTTTCCTTACTGCCCCACCCTTTCAAAGCCTCATTGCTTTTTGCATGGCAAGTGACTTCTCTGTTACAGTGAGAAGAGGTCCCCGATGTGACAGTGTTAGAAAAGTGCACATTTCCTTCCCCATGGGGACAACTCTTGCCTGATTACGTTCAGCACAGGTAATAATTTGACGGCGTTCCCTTGACTGCAAGGGTTAAAGTATAACAGAGAATTCTCAAAGCTCTGTTTGGCACCAACAGATGTTAATTGTAGCAGAGGAAGGATGCCCAGCTTGTCTCAGTTGGAGGAGTAATGGTTTTAGTTTAGAAGCACACTCACCACATTTAGCCAACCCCCTGTGATTTCCCAGCCAGCTCACTCCTGCATTCTGTTGTCCAGAAGAGACAGTTTCATTAACTTCTCTTG